GATCAATAGGCTTCAGCACAGAGATGTCCTTGTGGTTTAACAATCCTGACAAGCCCTAAGAAACAGTGATCACGGGAGTGTTCATGGAATTTTGTTTATTGTCTTGCGTTTTCTTTGACTATTTGTATTTGTTGTCTTGCTTGTTCTTTGACTATTTTCATCTATTGTATTGCTCGTTCCTCAACCTAGAACTGACCTTAACACTTACATGTGATTAAAATGGTATAAAAGAAAAAGGAGGAGGTGGGATGGGATGGGGGTTTCTAGAGAGAGGAAATGGGGAAAGGGGATGACATCTGAAATGTAAATAAATAAAATATCCAATAAAAATAACTAAAGACAACAACTATTTGATCATCACATTAGATGCAGAAAAAGCCTTTGAAAAAAAATCTAACATTACTTCATGATAAAAGTCTTGGAGAGATTAGGAATACAATAGACATACCTAAACACAATAAAGGTAACTTGCAGCAAGCCCATAGTCAACATGAATTTAAATAGAAATGCAATGGAATTCACTAAAATCAGGAGCCAGCCCATATTGTCCTATCTCATCTTACCACAAGGATGCTTGTTCAGCCATGTTCATTGCTGTTTTGTTCATAATAGCCAGAAACTGGAAACAACCTAGATACCCCTCAGCAAAAGAATAGATAAAGAAAATGTAGTACATTTACACAATGGAATATTACTCTTAAAAAAAGTACATCATGAAATTTGCAGGCAAACAGATGGAATTAGAGAAAGAAACATTCTGAGTGAGGTAACCAGACCCAGAAAGATAAATATGTATTCACTTATTGTTGAACTAGCTATTAAATGAATAATAGCCAACCTACATTTCGTAGAGGTTAGGTGTAGGAAAAGGGATGGGGGCACAATGACATGGAACTCTCTGGGACAGGGAAATAGAATAGATTTTATGTGTGAATTGGGGCCATGTGGGGACAGGAGATGCATGCTTATGGACATGTACATGTAACTGCCTGTTGAGATGAGAAGAGAGAATTGGATCATCTAATACAAAAGTTATAGGTTACTGTAAGTTGTTCACTGTGGGTGCTGGGAACTGAATTCCGGCACTAAAGATATAGTCTTATAAGGTAGACCACTTTGTGAAATAATTGAAAGGAAAATCAATCTTATGAATTTTATTAAAAAGCTTTTAGATTTTTTCTGATTGTTTAAAATACAAAGTTTTGGTTCTGTTACTTTGACATTTCAAATAAAGATAGAAAAACAGCATGTATTCAAGTATAACATTAAGACTTTCATAAAACACTTATTCTTAAAATCAAAAGAAAAATTGAAATTATGTGTAGTTAATGTTTTCATTAAAATGTTTTTCTTATTTACTGTTTTTTTTTTGGGGGGGGGAGCTATTATTTTCCCAGTCTGCTAGGCTTGATGGTGGCTTGGAAAGATTTAAAAAAGCAGTTGGTAAGCATTTGATCTGGGTTTCCCTGATAGCTCATAACTTAATTTGTGTCCATTTATCAAAATTCTGTTGTGATCTTCATGAAGACATTGGGACTTGCTCTGAGTCAGCTCAGTGTGAGGCATTTGGTCTTTGTGTTTTATTTTTGTTTTTTGAAGTAAGTTCATTAAATTAAAATAATTTTATTAATAGATTTCATATAATTCTCAAATAGTTGAAGCAAGTTAAAAGTTTTTGAAGATCTCCTAGTGATAAACTCTGCTTTGATGTGCTTAGCAGCTGGCTGCTTCTACCAGCTGTTGGATGGATCCCATGCACTCTTGAAAGTCATGCTTTGGCTATGCTGAGCCTAATTTATCCATTTACTTTTTTGTACACATGTGAACATCATTTTATAGTATCTGTTGTGTCAAAATCACTGTTTGTGTATTGTGTCTGAATCTGTTTTCTTCTAAGTCATTTATTTGATAATTACCAGTACTTTTTTTCCTGACCGCCCTTCCTTCCACATTTGTTGGCTTTGAGCAATGTGTTATTTGGATACATTTAAGCTCCAGAAATTAAGTTTTGTCTTAGTAAAATAAACAGTCTCTTTCCTCTCATACCACAAATCTTGACTTCTTTCTCTAGCTTTCCTAGAAACACGAACAATGGAATTAAGAGTGGGCAATTGGAGTTTTATTATACTTAATATTTCGTTCTGCTCCTCTAACAAATGTACCTGTCCTTGGAGATAAATGAAAATCACATTTTAAATTAGTAAAAATTAATTGGAATTCATCTGGGACCCATGATATACTAGCTGGTCACTCAAGAAATTTAAAGCATGTGTGGGCTTGACTGTAGCGGACAGGAGCACAGATGGGCTAGAGCAAACACTGGGATCCAGAGCCCTTGCCACCCATGGAGCTGTCCAAGGTTAAGTACATAAGCCATTTGCTAGTTCACTCATTAATTATGGATGACATGTTAGCCAGCACAATTTTACAGTGCCTACATGGTACTGGTACTTATGCAGATTTAAAAGTCAAATTGTATTGTGAAGGTTTCAGCATCATAGAGCAGTGGTCTTTCAGCAAGTGGTTCAGTATCAAGGTGTATCGTCTGTGGCAGCATTACTGAAGAGGATTTTATATGCCTAGTCAACCCTCTGACTTAAAGTTCTATCCATGAGTAATTTTGTTTTTGCAATTGTCTGGAGTCTGGTAAATTAGCTTGCTTTTTCTTTACAAGCCTATCACCAGCAATTCCAGTCTATTTAAATATTATAAGCCCATAGGAAAGAGACTTTGTAGAGGTGGTTTGATCAATTCTATTATTGATATAAAAGAATTTCTTCAATTCATCTCGTTTAAGATGGTTGGTGAGCCATGCGTTACAGGGCTTCTAAATGGGAACCTGTGTCTCTTGCTATAAGTAGTGGCCATTGAAGGACTGTGTATCAAACACAAATGTGCAGACTACACCTCACAGGTGGAAAGTCTATCATTTATAGTACTTTCACTCTCCTGGCCCTGCTACAGCCCACTATTCCGAAGCTGTTTTTACCACAAGCAGCAGCATCTCATAAGACAGTGGAAATCCTGCCTTTATGAGTTGTCAGAGAAGCAGAGGAGAAGAGGAGAAGGTTCCAGAGTCATATGCTCTCACTGTCTACTTGTCTGCTGGTTAGCTCCTTGGAAAGCCTTTGTACTTTCTTTGAAAAACATTTGCCTTCTTTTCTTTTAGATTCTTTGTGGAATGTCATTTTATTTTTTGGCATATAATTCTACTTATATCACTTAGATTTACATATTTTCAATTAACAGTGCTTAATGACAAGTTCTAAGACGTTGAATATCTACTGAACAAATACGTACTAAAAATCATGGATAGCAGGGCAGTGGTGGTGCACGCCTTTAATCCCAGCACTTGGGAGGCAGAGGCAGGAGGATTTCTGAGTTTGAGGCCAGCTTGATCTACAGAGTGAGTTCCAGAACAGCCAGGGCTATACAGAGAAACCTTGTCTCAAAACAACAACAACAACAACAGCAAAAAAAAAAAAATTGAATAAGTCTCTTTAAAATAAACATTATAGGATTTGGGACATAACTTGAAAGTTGTATGCATGCTAGCCATGTGTCGGGCCCTAGGCTTAATCGCCAGCAATGAAAGAAAAATAAAGAGTTTTATATAGATATTTTCACCTGAAAAAAAATGCATCATTAGGATGGAAAAACTCATTCCTTTATGATATAAAAGCAACATAATAGAATATATGTTTCCTATGAACTGTTATTTCCATGGGGACAGAAGGGCTGTGTCAATACAGGAGCATGAGGGGAATGTACACTTTAAATGTTTCTGCTCAGTAAGCATATGTAATAGGAAAATATCTAATACTGAGAAAATATTTTAAATTAGGTATTTCAGAAGGACACACATGTTTCTTAGTGTTCTTTGTATCATTTACGCCAGTGCTTCTCAGCCTTCCTAATGTTGCAACACTGAAATACCATTCATGTTATCATGATCCCAGCAATAACAGTATTTTGTAGCTACTTCATAACTGTAATCTTGCTACTGTTATGATTCATCATGTAAATGCCTGTGTTCTTCAATGGTCTGAGGCGACTCTGAGAAAGGGACTATCAACCCCTGCAGGGGTCGCCACCCACAGCTTGAGAACCACTGATTTATGCTTCCACTTGACAAATTGTCTTGAAAAATCACTCTGAGATCCCTTAAATTTTACTTAAATTGTTATATTTGAATTTATTATTTGGCAATTTCACACAATGTACCCTGGTCAATTTTGCTTCCCATTCCTCTCAGGTCCATGCTCCAACCCTTGTACCCTCCCCACAAAAAAATACGCCAACTCCAATTTGTGTTACGCATATACTCATTGGAGCATGGTCAGATTCCCAGTGCCAGCCCCTAAATGTCATATTTTCTTAAATACTAATATTGCTAAAACCGATGTTCCATAGAAAAATGTTCTGGGTTCAATATAGACATAGATAATTATTTATTAGAGATGTCAAGTACTCTAAAATACTGTAGATATTGGTTCCCTTGAATTTTATTAACTTTTTATAGACTAAGAATTAATGAACCTTGTTATAGATTATGAATTAAACTTAGTGGAATCATGTTTTTATATGATTGGTATGATTTTCAACAGACTGGTAGCATTTTTTTCAATGATGTATTTCCATTGTGTATTCACCTCGTATTTTTTTTTCTGTTTTTTTTTTTTTTTTTTTTGAGACAGGGTTTCTCTGTGTAGCCTTGGCTGTCCTGGAACTCACTCTGTAGACCAGGCTGGCCTCGAACCCAGAAATGCGCCTGCCTCTGCCTTCCAAGTGCTGGGATTAAAGGCGTGAGCCACCACTGTCCAGCTCACCTCGTATTTTAAAGGAACAAGAGATTCATTCACTAAGACGTGTATTGTCTAAAAGATATTGGAGATTATTAACATGTATTAACAAGATTAATAGAACATTGTGTTATATTTTGAGCTTTACTTTTCTCAAGAGGAAGCGGAAGAGAACAGTGTTGTGCTTGCTTTTTTCAGGTGCACTGCTTTGACTTCACATTTGTACCTCTCGCTCAGAAGATGGAAAGCCTGATGTGGATTAGGGAATTAGCAAAGGAAGTTAGAGAAAGGAATATTCTATTAAGTGGGCTCCTCCTAAATTACTCACAGGTATGTAATTTGTTAATATTTACAGAATGCATGTTTTCATACTTCTAATAGTATGAGAGTGATTTTGATAAAGAAAATGGATGATGGTGGTACAGAAAATGATGAAAATTATTCATCTGGGTCCTAGGAGAGGGTTCAGGAGGGAACCCTTTTGTACACAAGATTAAAAAGCTGAGTTTGAATCACAAGAACCTGTGCAGGAGCTGATGCTATAGGATGGCTCAGTAGCCATAATACTCTTAAAGAGAAAGACATGGGGACAGGAGAGTCTACAGCAATGTTTATGTCACTAGCCTTGCATACACATTGTGGACAGGCAATGTCTCATACAAGGTAAATGGAAGGACTAACACTTGGAGTTGTCCTAGGCTCTCTACATGTGTGCTGTACTCAGGAGAACATACATACACTCTCATATGCACACACATACACATGGATTTACTTATTTCTTTATGGGCTCTAATGTGTCTCACACATTACATAAATAAAATAAAATAATAAAAATGAAAATAAAAATCAAAACAAATGTTTTAGGGAAAAGATGGAAACAGTGAATTTTGTCCAGTTGTGGATCTCTGTAACTATGCCCATCAATTACAGATGGAAACTTCTTTAATGAGTGTAGAGCTACACTTATCTGTGGGAACAAGAAAGGAAAACTGTTTATAATACAGTTAGACATGGTATTCATTTAGGAGAACGGCAATAGTAGGCTGTCTTCTCGAGTCAATGACTGCTCCAGCCACAGAAAGTTGACTAGATTTAGTGTCAGACGTAAATTTCCTCCTATTGAGCAGGCATTAAATCCAAATAGACAGCAGGCATATTCAACCACAATTGATGTATCTATAATGTAACTCCTAGACCTAAGGCACAAGGAAAATTCCTGGAAGATGAGAAAGAAAGATTCTAAGAGCCAGAGGACCAGGGTATCTACTGCTGCTGTATTGTGTCTTCTAGACATGACAGGAAAGCTGCACCCATGAAATGTCAATAATATGGCTGCCTAAACAAGACCCGTTAATGGTAACAACACTTGAAATAGCAGCCTGATTGGACGGAATTCACAAAGGCCCACCCTTAGATGGAGAGCTATAGGTAATCATTGGCTGCTAAGAGAGGGAAAATCAGTTTTCTCCAGGCATGAACTCCCTGACAGGTTATCTAATCATGAATAGTCAGCCCTAAACATATTTACATATGAACAACACTGAATGGTCTCAGTAGGTTATGTCCTCAGTAGATTTTGTGTGTATGTGTTACATATACACATATATATGTTTATCTAACAATAGTTAAAGAAGCAGTGACTAATTTGAGAGGGAGTAGAGGGGCATAGGAGGAGCTGGAGAGGCGAAAAGGACAGGTGAAAATGATGTAAATATAATGTTCATATATGAAATACCCCCTCCAGAAAATTAAGGAAATGAAACCCAAGAAGAAAGTAGTAAACTGGCAAATACCAACTGTAGTTCACATAAGACTGCCATGTTCAGTAAACAAAAATACTCAGATGAATGTGTAACTATGTTCAAAATTGGAATTTAAACTTCAGATTTAACTGACCTCTTTTATTTTATGGGAAATCCTGTAGAATTATGTCCCATGGCCTGTGGCAAATCTGAGATTGCTTAACTTTATGTCATTTTCATAATATTGGTAATCAAGTGCTTTCTACTGCTATATGTTATTTAAGAACTTAAAGTGAGTGCCTAGCATCTAGAGTCTGATCGAGCTTAGCACTTAACTAGAGAAAAGCGTTTGTTAGTGTGCTAGTAGCAGCAGGTTAGTTAAGCGGGAGGCAAGATGCTTTGCTCCTCATCATTCCTTGTACAAAGGAATGGGATTTCAAACAACATTTGGAGAATCTCATAGAGAAGTTGGAATTGCCCTTTTTTTGCAATACATAGCTGTCATTAGACCTCTGGCTACTTTATAATTTCATCTTTGATGTCTCATAGAGATGGTTCAGTAAGTCTGACAGTTGCTTTTGGAGTGATTTGGAATAAATCCGATCCATTACTGGCTTTCTAGGTAATCACAGATATTTAAACTTACATATGGGTAGAACATAGAGCAATGGTTCTATGTGTAAAAGAGCTTGCAGAGGGCCTGACTTTGGTTTTCAACATCCATGCTGACCAGGTTACAGCCACCTGTAATGCCAGCTCCAAGGGACCTGAAACCTTTTTCTGGTATGTGCACACACCTGCACATGTGTGTACATGTACACAAACACATATGTGTGTGCAGATGTAAAACATAAATAAAATCTTTAAAAGCATATAGATGTGAGCAATCAGCAAAAGAATGTATTTTTACATACAGCTACAATTGCTCATTTATCTACGGTGTGTCATTAGCCTGCAGGTATATGTTTTAAATAAGTAAATTTTAATTTAATATAATGATCATTATCCATACAGGCATGTGGGGCATTTGTAACATTACATGGAAGTGTGAGCCGAGAATGACATTAACTTTTCTGCAGAAGTTAGTGAGTCTTGAGAATACAAAGAGCATTATAAAATACAGGCAGTACTTTAGTCTTCTTTAACTACAACGTAGCTTTGCTTCTAAAATACGTAAACATGACCTCAGTTTAGTCCTTAAAAAGGTGATACATTTGAGTTTACGTGGGATCCTGGAAATCTAAGATGTTGAAACTGTACAGCCTAGGAAAGTCAAAAGTCCTTGGTCAGGAATATTTCCTCCTCATCATACTATAATTTTTGGTTATAGTATTTAAATATGGTAGGAATTATAAATAAACCATTTTCCATGTTTGTAAAATGTAGCATCATGGATGAATGCTAACACAACAGGGTGCAAATGTAAAATAAAATTTATATAGGTTACAGCTCAAAATGGAAGAAACAAAGAGCATATCCAATCCCTAGAAACTTCTGAGCTCCATGACTCACTTGCACTCCAAGCAGCTTTCCAGCACAGAGTGGAGCTGCTAGGTAAAACATTGGGTACCTTGAGTAGTTATAATTCCTAAACCATGAATAGCTTTTTTGTATTAAATGCATCCCGAATATGACATGAGACATGAATGCACTATAAGTTGCTTTTATGCAGTTTGAATTTAACTTAATACCTTGCGACTTTTACCTGCTGAATCCAACAGCCTTAATATAGCATTACAATATCCATCATGCTTTGCATACTTCCGCTGTGAGGTGTAAACAGGTGTCTCTGAGTCTCTGTACCTGAGAGAATTCCCTGGTGGGAAAGTGTGCTTGCCTGAAAACAGGCATTGAAAGTCCATTGCTTGCTCCCAGACAGATCTCTATGACTCTGAGCAGAGAGAGACCTGGGCTACCTGAGGTGAGATAGATAAAAGCCCTGTAAAGTCTTTCAGGGTACCGTGGTCACTAAAAGGTTATGCTCATCCAGGATATTGAGGTACATTAGTAAGCCCATCCATCGTTTGGATGTCTAGAGTATGAGGATCAACAGTTTAAGACACTGTCTTAAAAAATAAAATCTTATTCTTTATTAGTTTTAATCCAACTTTGCTACAGAAGTCAATCAGTTGTAAAATAAAAAAATTACTAGACGAATGTATTCTAATTATCTAAAAATTCTGTATCTAATATATTTATGAATTTATTAAGATATAATATTTAAGGCATGAATGTTTTAGGCTAATAACAAACTTTGCAGACCTATTTTATTGATATCTAAAATATTTTATAGTGATTCTTCATGTAAATGTTTACAAGTATACATTCTCTATAATTTTTATTTATGACCTGTAATAAAACTTTTAAGATCTTAAACTTTATAAAGTCCTATAGTTTTCTACTCTGTATATGTATTTTAAAACCTTAGGTATTCAAGGTTGAAACAAACATATGGTCTCATGGTTAAAGAGTTTCCCTAACATATGACCATTTTGATGAGTCAATATCTGTTTGGTTCTGCAGTAAAGAAGCAGCTGTATAGTGCTTGGCAATTTATGTAAATTTCTGTAAAGATTTTAAGGCTCAGATGCTGCATTTGTAAAATTTAGAATTTAGAACCATTGGATGAAGCAGGCCATGGTAGAACTTGCCCATACTTCCAGGATTCATGAGACAAGCCCAGAAGATTATGAGTTTGAGACCAGCCAGACTTAAATAATGGGATCCTATGTCACCCAACCAAATAAACCTCCAAACAGACCCAAATGCTTGTATGCAGAGAAGATGGAGTGCTTCAGAGTGTGCTGGCTCTGCCAGGTGACACAGCAGGTCTCACTCTGGTACGAGTTAAATCTGAAACCTGAATCTCGTGGGTTTTTTTTCTTTTCCTTGTATGACCGTGAGTTTTACTATACTGTTTTTCTTTATTTCACTGATAAATTATGCCTTAGAGTTAGTGTACTTTAGATTAGAGAGGCAATGTTAATTTTCTTTCAGACATCATAATAAAAATAAAATAAAAAAGCAACCAGAGGAGACCTTGATTTATCCAGAAAGATCTATAATAATAATAAAATAATAATAATAATTATAGTAACAGCCAACGAGAACATCTCAGTAGAGCAAAGCACTGTGAAATTTAGTCTGTATACTTCTTTCTCCCTCTTTTTGCTTTTTGTTTTGTTTTTCTGAGACAGAGTTTCTTTGTGTATCCCTGACTTTCCTGCAACTCATTCTGTAGACCAGACTGGCCTCAAACTCACTGAGATCTGGCTGCCTCTGTCTCTGGAGTGCTGGGATTAAAGGTGTGGGACACAATACCAGGCCAGATGTTCTCATTTTTATTTCTCCCTGCTAACAATCTTCAGGTGGCTTGGATCAAAGGCAATAGGAGTTTAGAAAGGAATGCTTGAGTTTGTGAGCACTTTCATAAGTGGGAACACTAGGAAGGACTCTGGTGGTTGGCAGAGCCACAGAAGGCAACTGTGAATACTGGAGTTTAGGCTCTGCTAAATTGACTCTGGTCTGAATTCTGACTTTTACGTTACTACAAATAAGGAAGTCAGACAGTAAAAAAGAATTTAACAA